GTCCGAATGAGACCGTACGAATTAGTCCGAATGAGACCGTACGAATTAGTCCGAATGAGACCGTACGAATTAGTCCGAATGAGACCGTACGAATTAGTCCGAATGAGACCGTACGAATTAGTCCGAATGAGAATGAGACTGTCTGTATGAATTAGTCCGAATGAGACTTTCCGAACTGGTCCGACTGAGACTGTCCAAATTAGTCCGAATGAGACTGTCCGAATGAGACCGTACGAATTAGTCCGAATGAGACCGTACGAATTAGTCCGAATGAGACTGTACGAATTAGTCCGAATGAGACTGTACGAATTAGTCCATACATTAGTCTGAAAGAGATTGAAGGAATTAATTAAATTAAGGAATTAAAGCATGGATTAGTCCGAATGAGATTGTACAAATGAAATTAATCAGAATTAGATTGTACAAATTAGCCTGATTGTGATTGTACAGACTGTCCAAATTAGTCCGAATGAGACTGTCCGAATGAGACCGTACGAATTAGTCCGAATGAGACCGTACGAATTAGTCCGAATGAGACCGTACGAATTAGTCCGAATGAGACTGTACGAATTAGTCCGAATGAGACTGTACGAATTAGTCCATACATTAGTCTGAAAGAGATTGAAGGAATTAATTAAATTAAGGAATTAAAGCATGGATTAGTCCGAATGAGATTGTACAAATGAAATTAATCAGAATTAGATTGTACAAATTAGCCTGATTGTGATTGTACAAATTAATCTGAATGAGACAGAAAATGAATACACCACCAATTCACCAAAACAAACTGCAATAAGAGTGTGTTGTACAATATTTTTGGTATAAGAGACCTTCACTGATATTGTAAGTGGACTTCAGAATAAGAAAAAAAAATCTGAATAACTGTTGAAGAGCGATTAGTATTGTTCTCAGATCTTAAGCGCCATGCTGCTATATGAGCATGCAGCAGGCTTATCTCAGTCCAAGGCATCAGTTCAGCAAATTCACCATGGCCTTGTACTGCACTGGGCCAAGGACCACAGAGTACCAGGAGAACAAGAATGAGAGAATGAGAATGACAAAGCCAAACTTTCAGCTTTCAAAAATACGGGAAATTTTCATAGATAATAACCTGTTGTGGAGAAGCAAAGCTTACAGTTTTGGGCACTTCGTATGCGATCTGAGTGGAGACGCCACCCATGTCCAATACTCCAGCCGTACGCTTGCGCACCAGCGTCTCCTGCTGGTCACTGCCAGGAACCTGCACCTCCACCACTGCCTCATGTTCTGAGAAACAAGAGCACAGAAAATATAACAAAAAAAAAAATAAAAAAGAGAGAAATGAAAGTGTAGATGAAAAGCCACTTTTGTAGGGGCTGTATATTTTTTTTGAGAAAGAAAATGGCACAATATCACTTACCATCCTCAACATGATTGAATCGTCCCAGAACAAAGTTGATACCTATCCATGCATATACTCCTGCAAAAAAACAAAACAAAAAAACAACTGAATTCCACTGAATTCAGTTTTTTACTCAAAATAATTTTTTTTTTTTTAAAAGAAATAATACTTTTATTCAGCAAAGATGCATTAAATTCATCCAAAGTGACAGTAAAGACACTTGTTACGAAATAAATGCTGTTTTGTACTTATTCAACAAACAATCCTGAAAAAAAGCATCACCATTTTCTTAAAAATATTAAGCAGCACGACGGTTTTCAACATTGATAATAATTAGAATTGTCTCTTTAGCAGCAAATGAGAATTTTAGAATGATTTCCGAAAGATCATGTGACACAGAAAACTGAAGTAATAATGCTGAAAATTCAGCATTATTACAGTTTTTATTGTATTTCTGATCAAATAAATGCAGCCTTGATGACAATTTTTTTAAAATCTTACTGACCCCAAACGTTTTGAACGGTAATGTGGATTTGTGCAACATTTAAATGAACCCCTGCGTTTCTGAACTGATGACTCTAGAGGTGGTCTAGAAGAGGTTTAGAGGTGGGTCTTACCTTCCTGTTTGCCTGAGATAACTTCCACATGGGAGTCGGAGAACAGGAAGTTGAAATTTACAGGAATGTCAGTCCGCAAATCCTCCAGCAGGGCCTCCTGTTGGCTGCAAACAAACAATCTTAGCACGAACGGCAGCTGTCCCACAGCATGCAGCTAATATAAGGTGTGCATTTGTGTGAGTGTGTGACTAGACACCTTTCAGGCAGGACTCTCATTCCTGCGGTGCACAGGATGTAGAGAGGTGTTTCCTGGTGCTTGTTCTTAGGGATGTGCTGAGCAGCAAAACTCAGCAGAGGGCTGATGTAGTCGCTGGCCTTGTCTGGTGTGGATGCGTACTCTGAAATACCTGAACAAACAGAAACTAGTGTTACTTGTAGGGCTGAGTATCATTTGGATGTATATCAGGCACAGTGCATAGTTAAATTTAAATTATATTAGTTGCTTTAATGTTTATAATAATAACAACTAATAATGATATAAATAGGTTTCTACTGTAATTCATTTAAAACATTAAACATTTCAATAGTGGCTGTCTTAAAAACATATTCATGATGGATTTATTCAAACATATAGCTCTGGAAAAAAATTAAGAGACCACTTGAAAATTCAGTTTCTCTGGATTTACGATTTATAGTTATGTGTTTGAGTAAACTGTAATTTGTTTTATTCTGTAAACTACTGATGACAATACATTTCTTCCCATTTTTTTTTATTTTTTATAAAATGACAACATAGCAAAAAAAAAAAAGCATGCCATGTTTTCAGGCACGTTTATATTCATTTTTAGACAACACAATACCACTGCTTTAACTTCAGAAGAGTTAAGAAATTAACATTTGGTAGAATAACCCTGATTTTCAATCATTTTGACCCTGAATAACCCTGATTTTCAAAGCATTTGCTATTTTTTGTCAATTGTCATCTTCTTGAAAAAAATGCTCTAAATGACAATATTTTTATTTGAAATTGGGAAGAGATGTTATCAGATCTTTACAGAATAAAACAAATATTAACATTTTACTCAAATCCATCCCTAAGTAAATCTAGAGTAAACGAGAAATTTCAAGTGGTCTCAATTTTTTTTTCCATAGCTGTAATATGAAGTGAAAGTCATAATGATAAGTTAAGTAAAATATGATGAATATGTAATGTAGTGCATATATTTATCAAAATGCGTCTCTAAAGAATTTTCAAGCTGACTAATGAGTTTATTGATATTAAATGGCTTTCCTGACGTAAATTAAAAATCTGTCATGCCACATTAAACAGCATCAAATCAATATTTTGGATTAGTTTGTTTGAATTTTGTGTCACAATTGGAAAGCCAAAGAGGCTTTGTTTCATATTAAAAGCAACAAAGCTCATGTGAATATTGGATGGGAGGTGCGTTATAAATAATGCTTAGTAACGCATGGTTGGTTCATGCATCAACAGAAAAAAGCATAGACAAAAAGACTGAATCTTTGGATTCAATATCGGTTCATCAAAACAAGAATAGATTAAAATCAGGAAATCGATATTGTCAACCCAGCACTAACTATTTGACCATTCACCGCTCCAAGCCGTCATTCTGTTCATTCATTCTAGTGTTAACTTCGTTAACGAAATCTATGACGAAAAATGTTCGTCAACGAAGTTTTTTCCCCTGACTAAAACGAGACGATGACGAGATGATAATAAGGTCATTACATGATAACTGAGACTATATCAACATGCAATATTGTTGACGGAAAAAATAAGAGACTAAAATGTAGTTAAAAGAACAAAAACTTTACCAAAACCTTTTTATTTTTGTTGAAAAAAAGTAGAGCCAAAACACTTCAGACTGCTGTACAAGACTCCATTATGCGAGCGTTCATGTTTGTGGTTGCCAGATATCATGAGCTCAAATCCCCCAATCAGAGCTTTTCTGTTAAACGGATACACACTCTTCCAGGCTTTTTGCAATCTGGCAACCATTCACACGTCCTCTCTCTGCGGAGGCGTCATGATCCGAAAACACAGACTAACAGTACTGTACAAGTAAGCCGGAGTTCAGCGATCTTCATTTGAGGTATTCTGCTTAAATTGGCATTCAGCGAGTCGGAGTTCTGTCATGGATCTCGACTGTGATTGTGGTTTGCTGATTGTAACGTTACATACGCAACCTCTGTGCGGCAAGAAGTCTTTTTTGCTATTGTTTTAAAAGAGAAACATTAATGAAATTTGGAATTATTGAAATTACTATTAGGAATTTCTCTGTTATAATATTTTAGAGTAGGCTTTTGTTACAACAGTTTTCATAACGTAGACAGGGCGAGTGTATATCTGAAGTCTTTGGTGTTTATTTAGCCTCTAACTGAAGGCAGAATCAAAAACAATCAAAGGAAACGACTCACACCCATGAAAAGTTCTCATGGTCTGCAGACATTGCTGATGTACAGAATTCATCTGGGAAATTCATATAGTTTAGAAAATACATTTAGGGAAAAAAACGTGTATACCAGAATCCAGCGCTCCACTGGCAAGAGTCTGGTTGACTTCATCCTGAGTGTCGCATAACTGTGCAAAAAGCATAAATGGAAAATAAAGACCTTCTTTTTAAAATAGTATAATTACATTCTAACTAATACTAGCATAAGCAATGCATTTCTGATGAATCACCTCCTGTATCTGATCAACCAGGTTCTCTGCTCGCTCCACAGTCACACCCTTCAGTGAGATTCTCAGAGCCGCCACACCTGCCTGGTATGCCTGCATCACCTGCTCACACATATGAAAACATTTCATTAAGCCATGCATAATGTGCAGTGCCCTCCACTAATATTGGCACCCTTGGTAAATATAAGCAAAGGCGGCTGTGAAAATAAATCTGCATTGTTTATCCTTTTGATCTTTCATTCAAAAAATTCTAACCTATCATTGAAAATAAACAATTGAAAGTGGGGTGCATATCTCATTGTGAAATAAATGCGTTCTCTAGTTCATGTTGGTCACAATTATTGGCACCCAATTATTGCAACGTCCTTTTCCCAAGATAACAGCTCTGAGGTCTCTCCTATAATGCCTGAAGAGTTTGGAGAACACCTGACAAGAGATCAGAGACCATTCCTTCATCCAGAATCTCTCCAGATTCACAGCTCCATGTTGGTGCTTCTTCAGTTCACTTCACTCATTTTCTACAGGGTTCAGGTCAGAGGACTGGGATGGCCATGGTAAAAGATTCATTTTGTGCTCATTGACCCATTTTTGTGTTGATTTTGATGTTTGTTTTGGATTATTGTCCTGATCAAAGCACGGCCCATTATTAGATTTCTTACAGAGGCAGTCAGGTTTAGAGGTTTTATCTGTTGGTATTTGATTGGCATGCATCTGAACAAGATATCCAGGACCTCTGGCAGAAAAACAGGCACACAACATTAAATATCAAGCTGTATATTTAACCATGGGCAAGGGATACTTTTTATCCTTGTTTGTACTACACCCATCTGTTGGGTTTGCTGGCAATAAGCTATTTTTTTAGTTTCATCTGACTATAGAAGCCAGTGTCATTTGAAGTCCCAGTCGTGTCTGACAACTGAATATGCTGAAGTTTGTTTTTGGATGAGCGAGGAGAATTTTTCGTGAAACTCTCACCAACAACATGTGGTGATGTAGGGGCTATATGATATATTTTTTTTAAAGGAACACTCCACTATTTTTGAAAATAGGCAAATTTTCCAACTCCCCTAGAGTTAAACAGTTGAGTTCTGCCGTTTTCGAATCCATTCAGCCGATCTCCGGGTCTGGTGGTAGCA